GGAACCGTTTCATTAAATCTGTCGAAACATAAATCCAATCTGTGTCTCAGTGAGACGCAGACAGGACATCTCTGTTTCAGAACCTCGTTTGGACCCACAGACCCCGGCCTGTTGCTGCTGCATTTGAAGACAAATCCCTTTTTCTGCTTGGCCTCGTCAGACAAAACCCGTTTATCTCGTTCCCTAAAACTGCCTGTTGCACAAGATAAAAGGCCTCATTGTGCGGACGAGCTTTGTGTTCCTGCTTTTCATGTTCAGTTCCCCCTCCTCACGAGTGGGTTTGTCTCCTCACAACCAGATGTTTGGACTTTATGGAGTCGTGTTATCAGAGGCGTCAGGTACCGGGGTACAAGTCTGACAATGATCCCTTATGATATAAAAGAAAAAGTTAAAAATATGTCACAATAATTACATTAATCAAGGTTATTTCTTTGGAAAAAAAGAATGACTGAAGGAAAAAAATGACTTTTTCCCAGCAGATAGAATCTCACAATCAGACCTCCATTATCTCCCATTAACTCGCCTGGAAACTCTGACTTTTTACTGTTTGTTTTTTGTTTGTTTTCTTTCCCACTCCAGGCTGTAAGCGTTCAGTCTGCATGCATCGCAAATAAGTTTTAAAAATCATCTTTCATTCGGAGCAGGAAACGATTCAGACGCTGAGGCTCATCCATCACTGCCACCAAAAAGATCCTGTCCGTTCCAAGACGGCAGTCCGTTTATAAAGTCAGTTGTTTTAGTCTCAAACTGTCTGAAATGTTTGTCAGAATTTCCCACAGACATTAAACCTCCATCGTCTGGTTAATAATCAAGAAAACAGTTAAACTGAGCTGTGAGCTGATGTCAGGATGGAAAGATTCGTTGAAGATTTGTTCAATCTTTAAAAACAGCAGGAAAACAAGAGTCACTTATGCACAAGTTTTAGACTAAAGCACCAAGTTTTAGCTCCGCCCACCCACTCATTCATCCATTAATTCATTCACCCATGTAAACAACTATTCATACATACTGTATACCCAGTCATCTGTCCATCAATCAGATCATCCATTCATCCATTAATCCACTCACAAAGGCCTGCAGACAGGACCAGAGCAAGTTTTCACCATCTCAGGGTGAAGTTTTCTCCCATTAAAAGTGTGTTTTTGAATTTCAGGCGGTTCTTTGCCAACACGAGCCGAACATCTTTAATTTTTGATCAGCTGGATCGCTCTCACTGGACAGCAGGTAAAACCTGAAGCTGCTGCAGCTGAACGACGCTCCCGTCTCAGGAGGGAAGCAGCAGCATAAAGACGCCAGATGCTTCTGTGTCAGGCAGGGTGTGTGTGTGTGTGTGTGTGTGTGTGTGTGTGTGTGTGTGTGTGCGTGTGTGTGTGTGTGTGTAGGACAGAAAGTGAGACGGTTGAGGAGAGGAGATTGAGATGGTGGATGGAAAAATAAAGTGTGTGCAGCAGATGGTTGGTGGAGATGGAGAGTCAGGTTCATGTTGCAGTATCAGAAGAATTTGAGTGTGTGTGTGTGTGTGTGTGTGTGTGTGTGTGTGTGTGTGTGTGTGTGTGTGTGTGTGTGTGTGTGTGTGT